GCTTTATTATCACAATAATATTTACATTTTCAACTTCTTTAAGTAATAGAGAATGAAAAAAAAAGTATTCTTTTTCTTAAGTAGCTTTTTTAAGAATAATTACATGTAATTTAAGTTGAACAAAGTTTTTTGAAAAATGATCATAAAGTGTTGGAAAAACGTACCTTACTTAACACTTTACTTTTAAAGAGGTTACATCTTGAGGTACTTCTGAGAAGGAGTTACCCTCTTGAACTGAAGATTCTCAAACCTCTCAAGATGGTCCACAATTCAACTCACTCTTAAACCTTAATAGCAACTAATTTTCTTTCCTCTTTTTTATTCCCCAACAAAAATCTTTTCTTTAGTCACATTCATATACTGTATAGAATTAATTAGTTGTTCTATTGATTTTTTCATAACAAAACTTTTTAAATTAACAACACTAATTAATTAACTAATTGTATATAGAATAATACTTAAATCGTTAATATATATTAAAAATTTCAAAAAAGAAAAAATTTGATAAATTATATTCAGCGTATTCACAGCATAAAAATGTGCATGATTTAAAATTCAGAAAAGGTTATTATCTATCTAGATATGTCTTGAAATTTTACCTTTTTAAACTGAAATTTGAAATTTTCGAGTGCTTCTTTAGCAGGGAATATCTTTCGAGATAAAAAGAAAAGATGTCGACGTTGAACATGCAGTGAAAGGAAGCCCCTTTATGCTAGGCACGATTTTAGCTAGTCATGCCAGCGATTTAGTTGCAACTTTTATCTTTCTATGCAGACAGAAGAGACACTAACAAAGAGTTGTATCGTCCATGAAAATGTCGTTTTCTCTTGTTATCACCTGAAATTTTCATGGTATATTACTTTTTAAAATGACATTGTAACACTTAATATCTCTTTTTAGTTCAAATTTACGATCAATAACTTCAACAATTAGCATACATTATTAATTGTTAACATGTTCTTTTTTTTTTTTTTTTAATATTCAAATTATTATTACGTCGTCGTGACTAATAACACAGGTCTACAAAATAAGACTTTTTATTTTAAATAAATTATTCATATGAAACAAATTAAATTTTGGTAATATTGCAGAAAAAGGACTTTTCTCAATTTTTAATATTTTTGGTTCATTCACTGAAAAAAAAAGATTTTGTGTTTCCAACAAAATCGTTTGGTTAGGCAATTTTTATTCTTGTAATTAAATTTTGGTTGGCTGAAAAGAAAGTCGTAGAGTTATCTGAACCAAACATTTGGTTATAGACCAACAAAATTAATTGGTTAAACATTTTTAAATTCCAACCAGGTTACAATAACCAAATAATTTAATTCGCTCTCAGCTCGTACTTTAATAGAACAATTGGTTTAAATCTCTCACAAATATGGGTAGTCCAGTGGTCAGAGATCCCAACTCGCAGTTTAAAAAAAAGAGGTTCGATCCCAGGCGGAGATGAGATTTTTCAAAGTCCACAAATATTTCAATTAGATAAACATAAATAAAAAAAGATAAAATAAAAAGAAATAAGGTAAAATAAAATTTTTAATTTTACCAAACATTTTTATTGACCTAACTAAAAAAATTTTTTTGAGCTAACCAAACATTTTTGTTATGTCAACAAAAAAAAAACACTTTAACCAAATTTTTTGTTTGACTCAAACAAATTAGTTTGGTTGCTAAATACCAACAAAATTTTTTTGTTTGCCCAACCAAATTTTCGTTACTCTGACTAAACATTTTTCTCAGTGTTGCTTGTGGAATTTTTTTAATTGAAACAAATAAAACGTTATTAGACTCCAAGACATTGTCTTGGACATTGTCTATATTTGAAATATATTTTTATTTGATTGAAATAAATTTTATTTGTTTCAATTAAACGGAAATAAAATATTTCTTTGAATGTATAAATATATTCCAAAAATTTTGAATTATTAAAAGTAAATTAATAAATCTCTGTTATTTTTAAATTTCGATTCATATTATGACAAAATGAAATTGTAAAAACAAAATTAATTATTTGTACTTGAATAATTAAATGCACGCATCCATCCTTTATATGTGGGAATTTCAAGAAATATCCCAGAGGTATCTTGAAAATGCCTCAGATGAATGCAAGCTATGTGAGTAGATTCTTACGAATATAATTTAAAAAAATTTTTTTTAATTCTGTAAAATCAAGTTTTTCATATTTTATTAGATATATATAAATATATACATTAGGTATTTATATATTAGACATTTTTAAATTGTTGACAATTATTTTTTTTTTTAAATTTCAAAAATGAAAAGTCGTCTTTTTAATTTTTTACATTTTAAAATCAATAATAATTTTACAATAAACAAAATAAAGAGTGTAGAATCAAGTTGACTGAAACTAAAATTTCCTTTGTTATTATAATAATAGCAACTTTATTTAAATACACGATGTAAACGTCAATAATCGGTTAAAAAAAAGCAATAAAATATAAAGAAGAAAATTTATTATTGTGAATAAACTACTCTGGAAAGCTCTTCGGAGTGCGATCAAACTTAATTCCCAAAGGAACATGATAGACGCACCTCTGCATGTGGCATTTCATTATAAACGAACCCCAATTTCTTAAACGGTTGTGGATAATCGTTTTCTGAACTTTAGTCCTTAAACTTTTTTTATTAGGTATTAAAATGAAAAAGGTAAATAAATACATAAATAATGTTAAAAAATCAATTATTTAAAAATAAACATTATAATTGCGCTTCCTCGTGGAGGAAGCTTTGTTAGTCCTTTTGTTTATAAAACTTTTCAAAGTGGCGGAAACAAATTTTTTTCTTTATAGAAACAATGTTATATGAGATCCTGATCAATTGTCCGGATGTATGTATGTGTGTGTGGATCCCTTTTTTGTTTAGAAGATAACTTTAACAGGTTTTAATGGATTTAGATAAAATTTGGTAGGCTCATTAATCATATTGATATCTCAAGTCTGACCAAAGGATTTTGAAAAATATACCCCCAAAAAAAAATTTTATCGTCTTTTTTCCAAAAAATTTTTTTTAATCGAAAAAATTTTTAAATAGAAAAATTTAAGGTTATATATAATAAAATCGTATTCCTTATGTCAAGACGAATCGATCGATATATATATATATATATATATATATATATATATATATCAAGTATACATTTGAGGAAAATTTAAAGAATTAATGAAAGTTTAAAAAATCAAAAATTCACATTTTGGCAATAAAATTTTGCTTTCTCCAGGAGGAAGCAAATTTTTTTGCTGATCGTAAAGAGGAAGCAAAATGTTCATGTAATGAACATCTGAATTTACAACTTGTTTTTTATTTTGTAGTCATGAGTGGACCAGTCTAGAAAAATCATGTTAAAACTTTCATTAAATATCATACAATTTAAATATTTTTATTAAATAATTTTTTTTTAAAAAATACTTTTTAATGAAAATGATAAAAATCAAACATTTTAATCATTAAATTCCATTTTATTATTGCACTGTTTCGTGATTTTTTTGTAACATTTTCCTATTTTATATGAAATATTGGAACAAAATAATTTGAAAAATCTTAAAAATTTACAAAATAAAAACAACTTTTAGGTTATGTTGCTTTCTGATTTTTTGGCTTGTTTTTTACAACGTGCTGAATATTTTTTTGCGGGATGGTTGATCACTTTTTTTCCAAAATCCGATGTTTTGTAAAATAACTCTAGAATTTTTTACAGTGTTAAGGCTACGAAAAATATATAAATTTTGATTCTTTTTTTTTTTGGCGCAAATATTATAGATAATTTTTTATATATGATATTTTTATTAAAAATTTTTAAATGATTTGATTAAGCTGTCTTTAGTATTACTGTTATCGTCATTAAGATAATCCGCTTCGGTTTACAAGGAATTATCTATTACTTCAAGTGGCATTTCATCGTTCTAATTATGGAAATAATTTAGTAATTACAGGGAGATTGAGTAGAGATGGGAATGCGATTACTGACCGTATTGAATTCTTCGGGGAATGTTTAATTGAATTCACGCTGTATTTGAGTGTGTAATCCTAGTTTTGACCGAGTAACAATAGCGTATAATCTAATACATTAATTTCTATATTCACATTGGATACATAGGCTCAAAAATATATTTGAAAATTGAGTCTATTTAAAAAATTTTAATTCATGACTTTTTTAAAATTCTTCCAATTTTCTTAAAACTGTAATAAGATACTTATATTTGAATATAGTATCAATTATTTGGCGCAAGTAAATATTTATTTGATAACAGTCAAGTAAACGATTAATCAAATACATTTTTTTCCAGTGTACCATTTGGATTTTAGGGAAAAAAGGAGGAAATTATTTGAATATCTAGTATATGAGTATATCGAATTTTGTAAAAAGTGTATTCAAGTTTATAAAATAGAATACAGAGGTCCATACGAAATATTAATATAGTATGTCCGAACGTTTACGAAAAATCCCGAATATAGTTCGCAGTTTTTCTCGGATTGCTGTGATTGGTTGAACTATACGTTTTTTAAATCAGTGCGCGCATTTTTGACCAATCAAGCACTTAAATCGTATAGAGAGCAGACGATGCAGACGATCTATTTTGGATGTTAGATTAAAATTTGTAAAATCCCTTTTTTCCTCAAGAAATAACTTTATCGTCGTTCAAATTAATTTCTTTTTTTTTTATTTTTTATTTTAAATATGCATTATACAAACTTTCCTCTATGTAAAAATTTTTCATATAAATTCCCAATCAATTTTTTCAAATGTGTATTCCATTTTTTTGTGAACACGATAAACTTGAATCAATTATTTTTAATTGTAAAAAAATTATTAGATTTCAGTAAAGAAAATTGTTAACTTAAAATAATTTTCAGTTTAAAAAAAGTTTTTAATTATAAGATTTATATTTATTATTAAATTCTAAGTCTAATTTTAAGGTTATGTATGAATTATTTATTTAAAAATATTTTATACATATTTTCGTACAATTTATGTTCCGAGAGTATAAAATAATTAGCATCATTGCTAGATGTATAATAATTATTCAGTCACATTTATATAAGTAGTTTAACTACATTCCAACTTAATTTTCTTTAGCGCGGTTGTATCGAAATTTACTAATTATGCTAGTCCAACGTTCGACAAAAGAACTTAAATTGTTGCCACTTTTTTTTTTCTTGATTTGTTCAATTTTTCTTTTTATAGTAGGTATTCTTTTTACAATAGGTATTCTATTTACAATAGGTATTCCTTTTAAAGTAGGTATTCTTTTTACAGTAGGTTTTCTTATTACAGAAGGTTTCTGAAAAATATTAAAAATATAAGAAAATGTTTTTGAAATATAATATTTCATAATCTATATAACAAATAAATATTTGTACATTAAATATTATTCTAGTAAAAAAAAACATGACCCAGATATTACAAAAGCTTGCAGCAAGATTACCATTTCTTTTATCGGAACCATGTCGCCATTTTTGTGTACAGTAAGATTTCCATAATTGTGTATGACGACGATTTGTTTTTCTGCATTAAGTTTTATATTATTGTTTTGCATTGAACTCTTTTCATTTTTCTTACAGGTTATCTAAAAAATATTGTGAGTACAGGAAACTGTATTTTTAGACAAAATTATTTTTTGAAAATTTATAAAAGGTAAAAAAAAATTTTTTTATTTTAAATATTGATAAAAGTAATTGAAAATATTATTTAAAGCACTGATTTTATTCATTTTTTTTTACCATTATTATAAATTTTATTAGTATTATGTAACATAATTTTTAACGTTTTGACGGATATACTGTAATTTATTGTACATTAAGAGTTTTTGTTGAAAAATTTTTAATTTAATTTAATTTCAATACTGCTAGAGTAGTTATTTCAGGTAGAAAAAGAAATTAAAGTTGAAAAAGGACAGGAACAAAAAAAATTAAGGTGATTGAAAAAGAAAAAAGTTGAAAAAAGGTGATTAGAAATGAAGTGATTATCGCGAAGTTTAACTTTACAGTTAATTTATTCAACTATATCTTAAACTGTATTATTGTAAATTCTACCACACTTAAATTAACAATACTTTGTTCTACACTCAAAAATTTTGTTATAAAAAATAATTTTAAAAAAGCACAGAACAATTAAAAATTTAAAAAAAAAAACAATTTCCAATTTAAGAAAAAAAATTTTTAAATTTAATATTTGCAAATCTTACTTGCAAGACACATAAAATTGAAATAAAACTCAAAAGAATGTGCTTCATGGTTTTTAGTTTATCTTCCACACTTCTCTAACTGCAAATGATTCTGCTCGATGCTGTACATGGGGTTTTATACAAACGTTTATATAGGCTCAACAAAATTTTTTATTGTATCAGAAGTTTTTGGAATTGATCTTTACTCAGAAACATTATTGAATCACATAAATTGGATGTAAAGATGATAATATGAATTAAATAAGCTGTTTCTTTCTACCTCATAGGAAATTCCCTTTGGAAATTCCGTTTGAAGCACGAATAAATATTTCTTGTCATTCAATAAGAAAAATCATTTTTAAATATAAAATTGATATTTACGTACAAGAAGTTAGCAACGCCAATTTGTTAAAAAAAAAAAAAATTCTTTCAATTTTTCTTAATTTTGTACCTACTAATTTTTAATGAAAAAATTTTTTTGTAAAAATAATAATTTGGACTCAAATTTTTAAAAAAAACATTTTAAAGTTGAGTGTATTTTTTTGTGCTCGACTAGTAGAATTCAGCACAATTTTCTTTTTTTTTTTAAATAATTTTTGAATATTTGTCTCTATAAATAATGTTTCTTCTCTTTTTTTTTAAATTTAATTATTTTCAGAAAGTTCAAATATTTTGTAAATGTTTTAATTTTTGCAGTACAATTCAGCATAACATTTTTGAATACTTCTGAGTTAAAAATTGTTTTTTGATTGTCACAAACAATTTTTTTTTTTTTTTTTGATAAAACAAAATTGTGTTACTAACTTCTTGCACGTAATATATTTTTAAAATAATTATCAGAATGATATGAAGCATTTTTTCTCACAATTCAGGTCTTATCAGAAAAAAAATATTAAGCGGAAATTAATCATTATTAAAAACGAATAATTAAATCAATGTCAAGTAGTTTATTATTAAAATAATTATGAGAAGCATTTTTTCACACAATTCAGGTCTTATTAGAAAAAAAAATATTAAGCGGAAGTTAATCATCATTAGTAAATACCAAATATTAAATCAATGGCAAATTTATTTCAAATAAATGACAATTCAATATTAATAAAAAAAAAATTGATCAAGTGCTAGAAAATCTAGCCTAGAAAAGTTGTAATCGAACCTGATTAGATTCTTGTGAGAAATTCAGACTAAAAATATCTGCTGAGATCCCGTTTGAATTCTAGAAAGGCAATTCAAACTAGAAAAATCTGATTAAGCCCTTACTAAATTCTACCCAGAAATACCTCGAATCGGACTTAGATGATTATTTTTCGATGTTTTCTTTATTTAAAATATGAATTTAATTATGTTCAATAAGGGACACAAATATTTTTAAAATGTTCGTTTTAGAAATAATAATAAAAAGAATAGATATTAATAATAATAAATTATAATAATAAAATTATTAAATAAATTAAATTTATTATTAAATACCACCGAGTGATAGAATCAAAATAATATTATTGATAAATTACATTATTATATATAGTTTTACTTTTTATTTAATTTAAAAATAATATTTAAATTTAAATCAAAAATATCGAAATCGATGTATCGAAGTTCTCAATATATCGATGTTCCATCGTCGAGAATGATGACATGAGTGGTGCAAGTGCACATGTCATTTTGTGTGAACCTGAATTTTATTGTTCTTTTGTTAATTAATAATGGAAAATAATGAGAGGAAAAAAAGCAATCGCAAATGCGTAGCAAACAATATCTTGAGGTGAAATCCGTACGCGTTGAATTAAATAGAATGCAATATGTTCAAGAGCAAGTTATGGATATTAACAATAGATGACTTAAATCACTTATCTTCTTTATCAGAAGATACCCAAGTAGAAATATCCGTGGCTCGCCGTAATTAAACACCGGCATGGTACTGATCCAATACTGGCTGTCGGTATTGACTTTCAGTACTGGCAGTGTACTGACTAATACACCGAATCAGTACTATGTCGGAGGTAAAAAAATATTAAAACCAGTACTGGCAGTACACTGTCATTCACACCGAATCAGTACTATGTCGGTGATAAAAAAACATTAAATGAAAAAGTCTTTAAATTATTTCAATAGGTAGAAAACGATGATTTTTTATTTAAAAAAATGTATATTAATTTCTTTCGAATACTTTCCCTCAAAATTTTGGATGTAATTGTAATGTATTATTATATACCTATGTAAAATATATTTATGTTTTTTTAGTTATTTTAGTATTAAGTTATTTATCATGCATACAATAACAATAAGTTGAGAATTTTTTTCTAATAGTTTTAAAAATAAAGCAAATGTAATTTTTTCACTGTAATTTTTAAATATTATTAATAATTAAATATTAAATTTAAAAAAATTTTCACCATTCATATTTTACAGTCGTCTTTTATTAACTTATTTTTAATTATGTAATTTATCAATCATTTTTGTCTGTTTTAATATTATTTACGGTAAAAATAATTTATTAAAAATATTTAACTGAAATTGATATCCAGTTTTATTTCATTAAATCTTTGTAAAAATTGAAAAAATTTTATGAGTTTAAAAAATTTAAGAATAAATTCATTTTATTTTCGTGATCAATAGATAATACAAACTTTGAAATCAAAACTTTTGTATTAGGTGAACTACTTCAAGTCAGCACTTCAAGCCAGCGCGGCTGAGCGGTATGCGTATCTGACTTGCGTTCTAAGGGTTTAGGGTTCGATCCCCCATGCGTGCGAGATTTTTCGTTCTTAGTTTTAAGTGTTATAAGTACAATATTTGTTCATGTGTAATATCAATTATTAAATAATTATTAAATTAAGTATAAGTGCAAAGTAAAAAAAATTAAATATTATGAATTTAAAAAAATAAAAAAATTTACAACACAAATTATTTTTTGTAAAATAATTTATTAAAAATAAAATAATTTAATTAATATAAATGATAATTATTATTTTAATTATTTATTGTTAATAATATTTTATATATTCTAAATAACATTAACTATTATTGGCTTCACATTACCTGTTCGTGGTAAAAATGGGAGTAATAAGCTAATAAGGATGAAATTTGCATTGGAAAGCGTGTTTTAGCATTTTGTAAAAAAGTGAGATTTTAAGTCCGGATGAGTACTTTGCCAGTATTATGCCAGTATTATTCTAGTACTACGTTAGTACTGGTGAGCGGGACAAAATCAGTACTGGACAGCGTTACCAGCCAGGGTTGGTCCACTACTGGCCCAGTACGGCAGTCAGTACTATTATACTGACTGGCAGTGTTGGGTCAGTACTATGCCAGTGGCACATTTCTACTTGGGTAAATATTAACATAATATTATCAATTTAAGAATATTTAATATTAAGCCAACAAACATGAAATATGTACTTAGAATATTAAATGTAAAAAATATATTGATTGGTTTTCTAACCTCAAATTTTGTCTTTATGTTAATATCATTATTGCAAATTTTTAATTTTTACTATGATTATTCCAATTTCTGCAGGTAATATTATGATTTCTAACTGTTTTTATTTATAATTCTGGTTAAAATTTGTGTTAGTACTGTTTGGAGGTTAGGAAGTTCAATTAAACTTCACGGCTATAATAAATAGTATAACGGGCGTTTTTAACTCTACAATTTCAAAAACACACACGGAAGAAAGGACGTTGGATCTTTATATAAATATGTTTTTTGGATTTATTAAATATTTATTAATTTTATTATATTAATTTTTAATTAATAATAATCGATTAAAGGGAAATCGCAGGGATATCCCTGCTAGATCCCTACCAACATTCCTCGCTGGCGTCGATCGTGACGAAAAATGCCGTGTCTCGCCTAGAGTTTCCCTTCCGGAACCCATCTGGCAAAAGGGACGCACAGCGAGGTCCCTATTAAAATCTAACTCAAATTTCTGCACGGTATATGAAACTGAAGTTACCAACGTTGATTCAAGGAAAAAAATAAAAGTTAAGGATTTCTAATTCTCATCAATGAAATTTGTTTATTTTTAACTCTCCAAAACCTGAAAATAAAAAAAAAAAAAGGGTAAGAAAACAGTATTTATCATTTTTTTGTCACGGATTTTCTGAAAATCTCGAAATTTCAAGTAAATTGCTATTACCTCGCCTTGGAAGCAATTTTTTTCGTTTGGCAATTATTTACTTCAATGTTAGAAGTTTTTTAAAAAAAAATTGCAAAAGATCATTAACTCCAATCGTGTTCGCTATATTTTTCCTGTAATCTACACGCGAAAATACATGTGTACCAAATTTGAGCTCATCAGATAAATTCATGTGGACACTAGGGGGGGGGGGGAAACATACTTTGCTTCACTAGTCTCATTAATATAGCGGTTCCCCCTTCGGGTATGGAACCCTTAAAAATAGTGAAAAATTTTTGAGACATTTTACCATTTTGAATTTTTAACAACCGACGTCGAATACATAGTCAGATACTCCAAAAACACACAAAATCGTTTTTCTCCGAAATTTCGAGGTCGCTGGTAACAAATATGACTTAAGATTTTAAAAATTCAAAATGACGGATAAAATATGTCAGAGTAAAATCTAATTGGTGTACTGGAAATTGAAAAAAAAGTCATATTATAACTTCCTAGAAATTACTGTAGGACATCCTAAATATTCGGATGCAGTTAGGGTTATGCTTCTTTCTAGTTTATAATTGCCCGTTAAAAAATTTTAATTTAATTTTAAAAAATAAATAATTTTTAAATAATAGGATGAGAAATTTTAATTGCAATATATAGAAACGATTAGTTTATTATTAATTTAAATTTTTTTTTAAACTTCTTCTTAAGTTCATTTTTTCATGTGATTTGATGCTCTGCTAAAAATGTAAATAGGTTTTGATTTTTTATTTCTTTTGATTTCCTTGACTCTGAATAATCGCTATCTTTATATGTTTCTTATTTAATATCGACTGAGTGATAAAATTATTCATTCTTATATTAATTTAGTTTTTCTGAAAGTGTTTATTATAAAATTTATTTGTACCTAATTTTAAACACATTTATTTATAGTTTTAGCTTTTTTTAAAAAAAAGCCATTGATAAAGTTGACCATTCTATTATTGC